TAACATAGCCAAAGCAGGAAAGCTCCACTTGAACAAAAGTCAAAAAGGGTCGTCTGTAGCCACCCTATATTTTTATTGTAAGATATCAAAATCCTCATTGAATTTACCATGTGTATATGATGAAGCAATATTATCCTTTAAAAATGTTTGTCACTAGAAACGTTTATGTACTCACATTATATACATTTATCCTTTGATCTATTTTACATTTTTGATTTAGAGAGAAAACGTGAAGATAATTGTGGTAGGAGTTGGTGAAATCTCACGAGTTGAAAATGAAAAACTAAAAACGACTGCTGTCATAAAGGGAGCAGTCCTTCTGTACCTTAATCTTGCCAGATTCTCCCAAAGTTTGGACAACTTCTTGAAGGCGTGTATGGTAAGGATCTCTTGCTTTATTTATGCACTCCTCTCAAAGTCATTTGGTCTTATTCTCCGAGTTTTAATGTACCTGTGACAAGACTTCCAAAAGTAGGAAGTTTTGGTATGTCCGGGATAGTGCCTTACGTTCGAAAATTAGGGCTTGGGAAAGTTAGAAGCTATTTGACTTAATTAAACCGTTTCCTTTTGTCTTACAACGAATCAAAAGTCTATCCAGATCTTCTCGTGGCTTTGCAAGCTGGAGTCAACTTTTACTCAAGGGACTGAGAAATACGGAAGAACAATATCATGCTATAATTTGAATTTTTTGAGATAACAACCTTTCAGAGAAATGGCAACAAGTTTTGAAACAGTATGCTTTATGCAATATTAACTTTATCACGATCCCCTATCCCACAGCAGGATGTAGTTTCATATAGTGTTTCAGTCCCTGTATTAACCAGTATATTTTCAGGGTCATTCAATTGATATGTAATAACTGTAGCAAAGGAGCACAACTGAACTAACAGCTTTTGATTCGATTTGTAGTTTTTTTCCTATGCAACAATTGATGGTGGTTACACTGAGTGGTCCGAGTCTGAGTGCGGTGTGACATGCGGAGAAAGGACAAAAGTACTGACAATACACTGCACCAATCCCCCACCACCTAACGGTGGAAAGGACTGCGGTGAACTGGGACCAGCTGGAAAGACAGCATCATGCAACGAAGCAGAATGCTGTATGTATTTTCACTTATACTCTTTTTTCTGTACAACGAAGGCAAAAATTTCTCATCTACATAACTGCACTTCCGTTGAAAGCATCAACATTTCAAAACCTTGTAATATGAACAATTTTTGTCCAGGAAATTGCCTGGGTTTAGTAAACTACCACCTGGAGTTTCCGAGTGATAATTTGTATAGCACTCGGTATTGATGTGCCAATTTGCAGATAATAAGGAGGACTTCGTTACTTTGTTACTTTCAGGGCTTATCAGAGATATAAAACTCTACTTGATCTCTTTTACGTCTCTCTCTATTTTATCACCGCGCTCCGAACTTACCACCTTCTGGTTTTATTTGCGAAGCCTCGCGAGAAAAAATTATTGTCATTGATTTACGTAATGTATACGATACAGCCTGCCATGCAATCAGTTTCCTTGGACCGATTATTTGATAATGGTAAATTGAAAGACGCAGAACAGCTAAGTAATAAAACAAAACTCTTCCTTAGCTTCTCGGATTAGGAGCGAACCTTGGAAAAACGGGAGAAAAGGGAATAAATTGAAAACAAGAGCATAGTTTAACAACAGAGTGAGAGTTAAATGAATCATAGCAACTTAATCATCACCAATATTTTAGTTTTCCACAGGTCCTTCATGCACATCTGGACTCGACATTGGGATTGTAAGAGTATCAAACTGACCCAATCTGAAAAAGGTTATCGCCTTCCTGGGTGAGCTTGTGGAGAAATTCAATCCTGCACCGGAAGACGATCACTTCAGCCTAATTACGTTTCACAAGAATGCGAACCTGGCGTCTACAATTGCGGATTCAAAATGCCATGACAAGAAAGCTCTCTCGTAGAGAAAAGCCTGCAAAAGTGTTTCTTAAAACTCGCACCAATCTGGCTTTAAAATCGGCATTGGACGAGTCGTTTACCGAGGCGGAGGAGACAGACCAGACAAACCAAATGTCATAATTGTATTCACAAATGGAGATCTCACATATCCCAGCAAAAGCTTCAATTTCGAACCATTTGCTGCGAATGCAGAAAAAGAATTTAAAGTGAGTCATTTGTTATGGGTAACTTTTCAGCCATAATATATTTCAGTTTTATATTGTTCCCATTCAAGTTCGTTTTACACGCCATTTATTTTTACCTTTTGTCAGTTATTTTCCTTTCTTGCGGCACCAATTAGCGTACTGCCAATATAAAGTGCAGCTCGCATAATAATAGACATTATCACTGTGTTTTTAAAGTGTCATTATATCGTTTAAAATTTNCTTAGATTACACAAGAGGGTAACGAGGAGGGGGGAGGGTTAGGTGGGGCTAGGTAAGGGATACACCTTTTGTAACATTTGCAGGATGTCTCAAATATTTCTGCAAGCCGTTTCGGCTCCTTTAAAGAAATTTGATTTAGTGTACGACTTACCGCATTGCAAGATGCCAGGTTGAGGACAAATCTGAAGTAATCCACGTTATAAACATCTCTATTTTGCATGAATTGAAGGTTTTCAGTGTGAACCTAAATCGACATGAAAACAAATTCTGCTTTGTAAGTTTTCTACAAATACCAAATGATGCCGAGTGAGTTACTGAATTCCTATCAGTCTGATACAGCAATGGTACTACAAAATTTAAGTAATTATGGAAAAAAAATTCATGAACTAACCACTCTCTGGATAGAAGCTGGCATTTTGTCCTTAAAAATGCCTTTCTTTTCTCCCTTTTGAAGTAACGCTGTTAGCTGACTTAGACCGTCTGTCCGGGTGGGTGACGGGGGACCTGAGCTTGAGGATATCGAGGATGAGGATGGGGACGGTGGAGAGGACCTGGGTATAAAATAACAGGAAAAAATGAAATTGGGAAAGAAGGGAAAGAAGGGAAGTAAGGGTGAGCAGGGGAGAATTTAACGAGAACAAAACGGATATTTTTACTCTCAATGAAGAATAAAATCTCCTTTCTACGTTTCACGGAGACGAAGAAAGAAAGAAAGAGAACATACAGTTTAATCTACGATTTTGTAAATCATCCTCCATTGGGAATTAACCCGTGAACAAGAGTTCAGGTCATTTAGTAACCAGTTGGAGAAGCTAAGTGCACTTGTAGTTACACACGCACTACGCTTTCGGCGCGATTCCCTTCCGCGCAACGCAGAAAAATGTCCGATCCCTCCTTCCCGTTAGGGCATCTGATTGGCTAATTTAATAGTATGTCCCACAAGTGGTATTCAGCAACTGCACCCATACCTCAGACCTACATCATGTCGCACCAGTCCACTGCCATCACCAGCAGCGCCGTACTGAGACTTGAGTTTGTCTGAGGACTCATAGAAAAGCATGTAGCCATTCCAGTAGCGATGTCGAGTTTCGGGATAACTGTTTACTGCAAGCACACGCGTAACTTCACAATTAGCAAAAATCTCATATACTTTTTTTGCCAGGCATTTAAACATCTACTAGCTTTCTTGAAGACATCACGGCAATCTCACTTGAGATATCATATCAAAAATGTCTTCCAACTTCAATCAAAGTCAAACTGAAATTCAGGATAAAAATCTTGAGGTTTCCCCTTACAAGTTATCTCCTTGTCAAAGATTTGCCTGCCGTTTCTCCTCGAAATAACTGAAGGCGGAAAAAATAGAGTGAAAAAATCTATTCTATATTGCTAGATGGAGAAAAAACGTAGAGGAAGTTTCTTGAACACGAAAACAAGCTAAGTCAGCCATTAAGGAAAGCCAAGCACATTCTAAATTCCCTGCACAAGAATATTGATTCCTGGGCCTCCGCGTTATGCGAGTATACAAAGACTATACACTCAGTTTCCTCGGCTCGACGAGATACTACCAGCATCATAAGTAATGGGCTTCGCTGTGCGTGCTTCGCACGCGCTAAGAGCTCCACTACTATTCTACCTGCTTTAATTTTGAGGGCAGAGATGTTAAAGTCGGTTATTAGAGGCTCTTTGACACTAGTAGAACGAAAGCTCAGTATCAAGCTTCTTGCTCATATGTTGTCACTGGCTCTGGAAGATAAATCTCCTTAATGATCCAAAGTGCTTTCAAGGTTTAATTATTACAGTGATCTTATCATCCAACAAACGGAATCTTGTTTTACTGATTAGAGGGGAATATTGCGATGAGCAGCTCTAATTGTATTCAAATTTGTTACTCACCAGTGTCGTAAACTGTAGCTTTGTATGTGCCTCCAAAACATTCCGCTTCTAGTGTGTCCTCGTTCATTTCAAATTCCTCTACAAAGATGTCATTGAACTTGTACCACTTTTCTTTGTTCTCGCTGTCATTTGCAAAATTCCTTTAGGCAAAAATATGCAGGAGAAAGGGAATGGAAAAAAAATTAAATAAAGGAACAAAAAAATGTAAGTCACCAACACATGTTCGAAACAAACACCAGGATTCGTATACTTTCAAAATCCTGAAGTTCCATGACTTCTTCCATGATATCTTTGGTTTCCATAACCCACCATCAATTACCAGCTACTGTTCGAGGCTCGTGAAAATAACGGAGACTGAGAAAATCGATCGAGGGACATGTTTCTTAAACCACTGTTAATCACTAAGTGATGGTATTTCTTGACTTTGATCTTCAAAAAGTTTCCAGGTCTGATGAGTGATATTGTAACATTCAACGACTTTTCAGCTATTCAATGACAGGTGCGAATCCAAAAATACATGCCCTTCTCTGCCCACAAAATTTTAGCATAAATCTAATGGCGGTCTATCACGTTGTGATCTCATTGGTCACACTTCTCGCTATCTAAGCCGTGATAGAGAGTGGGTAAAGTGAGCTTACCTTGTTGATAAGTTTTGAGCGACTAATAAATTTACACTTAACTATGACATCGTTTCCTAGTGATTACCAAGCGTAATGTTTGTTTCGGGCTTCACCTTCAACGACTATCACACGATTGGAATCTTGAGCTCATAAACTACATGCTAAAAGGTTTGATTTAAACTAATGGAAAGTTTCACAATACGTAAACCATTG